GCCAACTTCCCACAGCACAGGGATCACGAGACTGTCTTTGAGAGCCTTGCCGATAGGGAGGTCGCAAACGAGTGGGATTCCGAGTGCAGCGAGGTGGTCTCTCGGCCCGATGCCGGAGAGCAGCAGAAGCTGGGGTGTACGCAGCGCACCTGCACATAATACTATCTCCTTCGAGGCATGGACTGCATGTGGTGTCAGCTAAAGTGATCAAGAGCTTCTGGCGTGTAGAGAGACGGTACCTGTTCCATTGCTGGTCGAGATAGCAATGGCCTTCTTCCCATCAAAGATAATCTTGTCTGGTTGGGACAGGCAGTCGACAGTCAAATTGGGGAGCTTCGTATGACCAGCGAAGACGTGTTGCGGCTCGGAACGAGCAGCTTTGCCGCTGTCACGATACGAGGCATCGCCAACGCTGTCAGCCCACGCATCGAGGTAGGCTTCCGACGTCGAGGCGCCACCAAGCGCATATCCAGCGGCTAACGACAACGTCCGGCCGCCGAGGTGCACCTGGGGTGTCGACATCAACGGCTGGGACCAGGAGCATGGATCGACGGCGGGCGCAGTGCCATCCGGGCGTTGGCCATGCCCGGCTTGAAGATGGAGGACGCTGGGCCGGCTCGACGACGACGACAGACGGTGGGCCATGGTCACGGCGGATGGGCTACCTATAGATTGTCGTTGTCAGCTGAGTTCAGCCGCAGGGCATGACGACGAGAAAGAGCATTGCCAGCGTTCTCGCACGTACCACCGACGACGATAAAGTCGAATCCTTTCATCGTTGCTTCGATGGCGGGGGGCGACGAGTGGTGAGGTAGACGGAGCGAGAAGGTTAGGGCTTCACATATACTCTGATGACATGCCGCCTCGCTCGCCAAGGGATGGGACTCTATTTCCATTCATATCATCCCTTTCTTGCTGCTCGCCATCGCATTCAGGCTCGAGTTTCGGCATGGGCCGCAGCTGAGCGTCGAGCCATTGGCTGAAGGCGAGAAGGCAGGATTGCCGCCATGTCAGCCGTACAGACTAATGAGGTACGAAGACTTGGCCATGCCGTCGAGCCCAAGGCATCGATGGCCTTGGTGTCATCTTGCGGCGCATGTGCATGTGAGGCGCGGCTAAAAGGAAGAGGGCCTGGATCCGGGAGAATGGGATCGTGGGGGGTGCTGGAGATATCGGGTTGAGGAGACGGTGAGCGTCCGAAGGATCAGGGAAGGCATGTGTGCCGCAGGTGTAAGAAGGCAACGAAGGCAATGCAAAGGCAGGCAGGCATGTGCTGACATAAGGCATGTGCTGACATGAGGCACATGGAAAGCACCTGCCAAGTCCAGTCACTCGCCCGCAACGGAATACGGAATTTGACTGGTCAAGCTGGTCTCGTGCTTTTGTGCCGGTATGATTGGTCCATCTTTACGAGCACCATTCTGGCCAATCAATGAGCTTCCATCTCCTGCCCGCTTCACACCGCTTCTACCAATCGATCGATAGACGTTCCTGCTGCGGCTTCTCAACTACACGATCCTGCATCACAGCTGCATCGCAGCCTCGCCACGGACACGGAGACACCGACAAAGTCGGCATGGCGCCCCCAGTTCTCGTCGCCACCACATGGGTGTCGCGGCTCGTATATAACCTGCAGCCAGTAGGGACCTCCCAACACTTTTGACGTCCCCGGCTCCCGCGTGGAACACCGACGCCCATGCCGCCGCCACAACGTTCCCCTTCGTCTCATCACCTCACACCATCTCGGTACCGAGCCTCTGCAGTGAGAGCCTCGGCGACGAGAGAACGCAGCGTCCGTGATGCCCGATAATAACAAACTCTCGGCGCTCGCGAGGCCACCTGCGCCCCTGCTGCGACCACGACCACCGAGGTCCCTCTTCAAGGAGATGGACCCGCGCGCCCCTCCGTTGCCCGCGCCTCCCGTCAAAAAGAAACGCGCGAGCAGGCCCAAGGTGCGCACAGCGTGTCTGACCTGCAAGATCCGCCGCGTCAAATGCGACGAGCGGAAACCCACGTGTGCCCGCTGTCACAAGGCCGACGTCGAATGTGACGGCTACTTTGCCAAAACCGAAGAAACGGCAGCCTCCTCGACCACCACGGCCGCCGACCCTTGCCATTCGTCCAGCGAGGAGGCCAGCCAGCCGATGGGCACACACCAACGCCACTACCACCGCCCGATCCGCCCTCGAACGGGCATGCCGCCCTCCCTTCTGGGCGTGCCGCTGCTCGAGGGCCTCGACGTTGTCTACTACGACCTCTTTCGGCACCGTCTGGTCCCGCACCTGGCGGGGTACCGGTACAAGGACCTGTGGTCGCGCATCGTGCTCGAAGCCGGCATGCGGGACGACCGCATACGCCACTGCATCCTGGCCGTCGGCGCCCTGGCCATGGCCGTCGCAGAAGTGCCCGCCTCGGCCAACGACGAGCCCCTGCGTGGGGGCCGACCCTCGGTGCTGGCCCCCTGGACGCACAAGCAGATCGTCAACGACCACCACCGGCACGCCCTGCGCCACCACCTCAGGGCCGTCGCCGGCTTCCGCCAGAGCTTCCAGGATCCGACGACCCTCTCGCCGCGCTGCGTCCACCTCATGACCCTCATCCTCATCGTCTACGAGTTCATGCAGGGCAACAACCAAGGCGCCAAGACGCTGCTCGACTGCGGCCTCGCCCTCCTGCGGAGCTCCATCACGCTCTACGAGGGCAGCCTGGGCCAGAGCGCGCCGGGCCACAGAGAGAAGGAGGAGGACCTCGACGACATGGAGCACAACCTCCCCTGCCTCGCCGTCATGCTCGACTACTCGAACCAGCTCGCCCGCCAGGACGGCCAGCTCTACCACCTCAAGTGCGTCCCCGACGACGCGCGCCTGCCCCAGCCGGGCCACGACTCCATGGCCAAGCTCATGGCCTGCTGGGGCCGCTTCTTCACCTTTAGCATCGTCTTCATCAGCAAGGCGACCTACGTGCCCCGTCTGGACCCGCACGGCACCGGCACAGGCCCCGGCACAGGCCCCGGCACAGGCCCCGGCGCGCGGTACAGCGCCGCCATCCGCGCCAAGCAAAAGGTCTTCCTCGCCCACCTGCACCGCTGGACCCCCGTCCTCCGCGAGTACGCACGGCGCCTGCCGGCCCGCGACGTCGCGGCCCGCAAGGAGCTGCGCGTCGTGCGCCTCTACTGGCTGGTCCTGTACGTGCACTTTTGCTGCTGCCACGACCCGACCGACCTGGCCTTTGACGCCTTCACGGCCGAGTTTGACGAGATCGTCACGGAGACGCTCGAGCTCTTTTCCGACGACGACGACGACAAGGATGGCGCGGGTAGGAACCCGAGCCTGACGCTCGGCGAGGGCGTCGCGTCGCCGCTCTTCTTCGCGCTGCGCAGCTGTCGGGACCGGGCGGTACGGACTCGCGCCGCCCATGCTGTGGGGCGGATCCCGTGGCGCGACAGCGGGTTCGACGCGCAGGCCATGATTGTCGGCAAGCTCGGGGCGGTGGTCATGGAGGAGGCGGCGCGGGATGCCGATGGGTTCATCCCGGCCGAGGCGCGGTGGTTCTGGATGGGAGGCGAGTGGCACGTTGGCAAGCGCGCTGTCGTGGCGACGTACGTCAGGCATGCGCCGGATGAGCTGGGAAGGCAGATCACGAAGCAGCTGACGCTCGGAGTGGATGACTGGGGAAACATCTGCCGTTTGGCAGGTTGCGTCAGCGGGCGTGACTCTTGATACAACGTGTCCCTAGATGACGCCCGAACGATACGAGGCCGTCCTCGGCCAAGGCGGGTACGTAAGATTTTTTGTTTTTACAAACTTGATAGACTTTAAACCTATCAGCAAGCCAACAACCTTTTGTCAGAGGTTATCCCAACCATGTTGAATAATTGTCATGATGGAGTTGATGAGGCACCCGTATAGCCGTTAGGAGTTGGGCTTCTGTTGGCCCTCTACTCAACCGGGGACACCCCAGCAGGATCATCGCACCGAGCGAGGCCAATCACACAGCCGTCTCGCATGCGGCGCGAGTACGAGGCATTTTGCCACTACCAGGCCGCAGGGTGCCGGGGGCCTGAGCCGCTGGGGTGCATATCAATGTCCAATGTCCGTCTGGACGCCATCCGTGAGGCACAGCCAGCTAGTAAGACAGGCACACCACCATCCTATCTCCATCCATCTTTGTATCGAAGGGTAGGCATGCTGCACGCAGGCCCTGATGCACCTGCGTTCTGCCCGGCTGCCCTTCCCGTTGACGGAGCATGGATGAACGGCGTTCGCGCCACTCAGCGCGACGATCGCACAAGAAGGTCCGTACGGGGTGCAAGAATTGCAAAGCCAGAAAGGTCAAGGTCAGTCTGTCCGCAACGAAGCTCTCACTCGCTCTTTTCCCGACGGCCCCGCATGTCGGATCAAAAGCCGAGTCATCTCAGCCACCACCCCTTATTACTTGGACTTCCGTCTTCTCACCACGATTGATATAGCAGTGCGACGAAAAGAAGCCCGAGTGTACGCAATGCCTCAAGTATGGCGTCCTTTGCGACTCAGACACTGCGGTCTCCGCGCCGGCAGAGCCCGAGCCAGAGCCGCCAAGGCCCGAGCCCGAGATGGAGCTCGACATGTTGGACCTGGAGCTCATGTTCCACTGGAGCACCGAGACGTGCACGACGCTGACACGTGACCCGACGGTCAACAAGTTCTGGCAGATCAACGTGCCCAAGATTGGGTTCCGGTGCGACTACGTCATGCGCAGCATGCTGTCGCTGGCGGCGCTGCACATGGCGTACGTCTGTCCGTCGCGGGAGGCCGAGCTGCTCGAGAGGTCGGTGCGGCATCACGAAGTGGCCACGCGCGGCGTCGCCGCTGTCGTGACCAGTGTCGAACAGGTATCGCGGGCCGGCGATCAACAGCTGGCGGACGACCTCTTCCTGTTCTCCATCCTGACCATGTTTTATGGTAAGTCCCTGCCTGCTGTTGCGCCGTGTGCGTTAGAGACGTCTCGCTTATGATGCAGCCATGTCCAACTCACGCGATCCCGGCGATGTTCTCCTTGGGACGACCAGCCAAGGGCCAGACTGGATCCTCCTCTTCACAGGCACGCGCCACCTCGGTGGCGTCAGCAACTCGGGCCACCATCCCACGAGTCCTCTCTATCCGCTCATCCGCGTTGCCATTTTCCGGTGGACCCTCACGCAGAAGACGTACACGCACCCGTACCTCGACCCGCTGCGGGCGCGGCTCGCGGCCGCCACTTACATCCCCGCCGACGTCCGCGCCGTCTACGACAAGGCGGTGCACGCGCTGCACCAGTCGTTTGGGCTCTTTTACGTCGAGAAAGACGAGCTGCTCGAGGGGTCGATCGACCTGTTCATCTGGGTTGGCAACGTGATTGAGGATTTCCTGCCGATGCTCCGAGAGGAGACACCCCGTCAGGAGGCGCTCGTCATCTTCAGTTATTTCTGCATGCTGCCGAAGAAGCTGCCGCGGCAGTGGTGGCTGAACCGGTGGGCGGACAGTATCAAGATCCGGACGTATGAGCTGCTGGATGCCGAGCACCGGACGTGGGTGGTCGAGCCGACGATGATAGATGGAGGTGGGTAGATGGAGGTGATGGATGGACGCGGATTAGGCGGATGAGGTGGAGGTGGGTGAGATGACGAGATGGATGATACCAGTAGATTTGTAGGATGGGGTGTTGCAGTATGAGCGACTTGGGAGGTAGGAAGAGTTGGTGACTGGTGCTCCTGAAGAATCAAGGTCAGGCAGGCACCTCGGTGTTTGTGTATGTGTCACAGGTCCCTCGCTCCTGCCTTGCTGCCATGCCTCTAGCCTCCTTCCCTTTCTTCTCCACCCCTTCCCCTCGTCTCCTTCCTCCCTCTTTGGCCCTCCAGCCAGCTCTTCCCGTTCTTGTAGGCTGACGTCCTACCCGTCACCAGTCCCATATGGTGTAGTGGCCAACATTACGGACTCTCAATCCGTAGCCCCGAGTTCGATCCTCGGTGTGGGAAGCTTTTGCTGCATGAACGGGCCAGGTGTTTGTGGTATGGGAGCCGGTGGCTGCTGAGGCTTCACGAAGTACCTTGTATACATGTGCGTCTGTATGGCGCCGATCTTGGTCTAAAATCGGTGTTTAGCGCAAGGTAAGATGGATTAGAATGGACCAACTAGTCAATCGTTGCTGTCTATCGTCATGCTGTTGGACTCTGGCGATGCACCTATCGTGGTCTGTCGACATCAAGGTGTTCACAGAGCCAGTCATGCCCAACCAATCTGCCCCCTGTCTTAGCTTTACTTATAGCGCAGAAGCAATGCCCCTTGTACGTAAAAATACGCGAGCAATCATAGCCTTGAGCTCAACCCTACAACCCGACCAACGGAAGCAACACGCGCCTCAGTGCCTCGGCAGCCTAGAGCAGTATAGCTTTGACATGTCGCACGCACCGGCCCTGCGTATAAGATGCTCACTGCACGGCTCCTCTTCACACACTCCACAAAGCAAAGCGAGCGTCCAGTCTAAGAGGAAAAAGTCATATATGCATTGCGTGACTCCTATGCTACGTACAGACAAGACAGAGACAGAGAGAGTGTGATACAACTACAATCTCCCGCGTCCCCGCCCCCCCCACCCCCCCGCGCTCCCACGCCGCACGCGCGCGCCAATCTATCCAGGTAGGGTGTTGGGGAGGGACACACGGGGGCGTCGCATCGATCCCGCTTCCCTGGCGCACCACGCACACACACACACACACACATACACACAGAGAGACATGACGACGTGGCGCGCACGTGTCGCGAGTCTCTCTTTTTCGTCGGTCCTGCAAGCGGTCTCGTCCGTTCTCGGTTGGGAGAGCGAATCTCCCCATGTCTGTCGCGCGTTGCTTTCAAAGTTCCATCACAACTGAGAAGAGAGAGGGAGATGATTCTTTTTGATTGGCGGAGGGAGTGTGGCAGGTGGATGGTTGAACAATAGGGGTCGGGGAGGGCGAGAGGTATCATGGGTGCAGGATTCGGTTCAGGGAGGGAGAACGGGAGGGGCCCCGAAAGGGCGGGTTGGAACCAGGTGCCGTTTAGAGCGTCTCCATCTTGTCGAGGATGGCGCGGGTGAACTCGTGGGTGGTGGACTCGCCGCCCATGTCGCGGGTGCGGACCTTGCTGTTGAATTTGTCAGTACAAGCGGGAATGGCTGCCCACCGTGCACCCTGCATAAAGAACTTACCCGTCGGCAATGACGGCGTAGACGGCCTGGGAGATGCGGTTGGCGTGGTCGTCGAGGCCGAGGTGGCGCAGCAGCATGGAGCCGGACAGGATGAGGGCGGTGGGGTTGGCCTGGTCCTTGCCCTTGATGTCGAGACCGACGTGACGGCAGCCGGGCTCGAAGACGGCAACGTCGCGGCCCATGTTGCAGCCGGGGACGATGCCGGGCCCGCCGACGAGGGCGGCGCCAATGTTGGACAGGATGCCGCCGTAGAGGTTGGGCATGACCATGACGTCGAACTGCTGGGGGCGGCCGACGGCCTGCATGGAGGCGTTGTCGACAATCATGTCGTTGACCTCGAGGCTGGGGTACTCCTTGGCGACCTGGTGGAAGGTGGAGCGGAAGAGGCCGTCGGCGAGCTTCATAATGTTGGCCTTGTGGATGCAGGTGACCTTTTTGCGCGAGTTGGCGAGGGCAAAGTTAAAGGCAAACTTGGCGATGCGCTCCGATTTGGCGCGCGTGATGATCTTGAGCGACTCGACGACGCCGGGGACGGACTGGTGCTCGAGGCCCGAGTACTCGCCCTCGGTGTTCTCACGGATGATGCAGAGGTCGACGTTGTTGTGGCGCGTCTGGTAGCCGGGGATGTTCTTGATGAGGCAGATGGAGGCGTAAATGTCGAGCTCCTGGCGCATGGCGACGTTGAAGGACTGGTGGCCGGAGCGCGAGATGGGCGTGTGCAGGATGCCCTTGAGGCCGAGCTTGTTGCGGCGGAGGGAGGAGACGGACTCGCGGAAGAGGTCCTCGGTGCGGCCGGACGAGGCATCGACACCGGTCACGTCGACCTGCTCCCACTCGACGGGGACGTTGTCGGCCTTGAAGATGGTCTTGACGCTCTCGGCGACCTCGGCACCGATACCATCACCGGGGATGAGGGTGACGGTGTACTTGCCGCCAAACTTGGTGGGCTTGAAGATGTCGGACTGGATGGTCGCGTAGGCAGCGCGGGCGCCGCCGGGGATGATGGGGCCGGCGGTGGCGGAGCGCAGGAGCTGGACGGCAGGTCAGCAAGGAGGGCTTCTTGTTTGATGGCATGGCAGCAGTGCCGTGTCCTGCGATTGAGGCCTTGCTCGCAGGTTTCTTCGGCTTTCCCCCGCCGCCGCCTCGGCCTACGAGCGAGCGAGGGACCGACGAGCACACGAGCCAATTGAGCGGCGAGCCAGGGAGCAGCACGTACCTGCGCGGTGGTGGCGGATCCTCGAGACAGCATTGTGGCGGATGTGATGGTTTCTCGACTTCGAAGGGAGATGTGTCGCGAAAGCAAGAGGTCGTGATCAAGGTCGAGGTCGAAGTCGAGTTCAAAGTCGAAGTCGAGGTGGCAGGCGGGTTCGGGAACGGGACGAAGAGAAACAAAAAAGAGTGGATTGGATCGGGTCAAGTTGGAACCTGCAGAAGGCTGAAATGCGAAATGCCGCAAAAGCACTGGACCGAAGCCCAGCGGTAGCCGGCGCGCGCCTGTCATTGGTGCGACGCCCTCTCGGCCGACCCCGCCTGCGAGCTCGGCTTCCGAGCCACGCGATCCGATGTTCACCCGTCGCCGACGGTACCTTACGTCCTTAACCTTAGGTAAGGTAGGTAGGTATTTGCCTACCTAGGTACCTTACCTAAGGTAAGGTAGGTAAGCTAGGTAGGTACTTTGCCAGGTAGGTACTTTGCCAGGTAGTACCTTGCCTAGGTACCTTACCTAAGGTAGGTAAGCTAGGCAGGCAGGACTATCAGCCTTGTCGGCGGAACAATAGGGAGCCTTGTGCTTCAGACAAGACGAAGGATTCTTGCACTATGACGAGCGATGGTCAATCATCTCGCGGCGGGCATCATGAGTTACCGCACAGACATGAGGAAGTAGCATGTATCTGGCCTCCATGGTCAACCTTGGTTCACATCATCGGTCAGAATAAGACCAGCCTTCATGTCTCACGTATACTTCATCTTCAAGTCATCACCAATATTCCAATTGTGTACGTGCCCGAGTCTTCATAAAGTCCAGCGTTCGTTCCCATTTCTTGATCATCTTCAGTACCATGCCATCCTATCCTCAACGGCCACGCTCACCTCTCGCGGATGCTACTGACACCTCCATCCCACTGACCAACATGGACTATCGTGGAAAGCCAATCTATCGTCATTCTACCGCAATGGTTCCCGTGCTCGTCTGCCATCAATGTCAGCATGCTTCTGGAACACCCATCAGTCGGGTGCAACGGGCACCTGTCACCAAAGGGGATGGTGATGATGATGGTACATTTGTACGCCTTAACATTCCCCAGGGGCAAACGGGCACCTGCGCCGACCTATATACGCAAAGCAACAAATGAAACCCTTCTCACTAGCTGCCACTGGTATTGGAGACCCCTCGGGGCCAAGGCCGTTCGGGGGCTCCACCGACTCCTCTTGCGAGTGAGCTTTTCTACCATCAAAGAGGCGTCACAGAAACAAGGTCAAGCGTGAAAAGAAATTACTCCCAAGTAAGACCACCATCTCGTCAGAGGTCTACCTCCAAATTCGAAAGCAGGTCAATAGACAATGGTGAGACCGCGCCAAAGGCCACAATAGCTGACCTGGACCCCGTTTCACGTATTGGTTCAGTGAAATTGTCAGAGCATGGGCTTGAGCAGAGTCAAAGGTCTTCCGCAGAGGTCCGTAGGCAATTGAGAGCAGGTACAGGGTAGAATATCTAAGATGCAGCCTCTGCAGTCCTGATATATACGTTATTTTACTACCTAGCCGTGGCTAGCCCCCTCCGTGGCTCTATAGGGGCTTCCTGACGAGACTAATGGTTTTGAAGCATGTTGATGCAACGGCAAACTTCTATGATATATGCACGAGTAGAATCGGCTGGTCGTCACAACCGCAGAGTAAAGAAACGGCAGATCGGCACCATAGTCTTTGGAAGGGAAGATCGAAAGACCACTGGCCAACCCGCTGGTATCCGAATCCTGCTGCTCCCAGCAGGCCCAACATCACCACATTTGCAGTCTCACCTCTCGCCTTCCATGTCCGCACTGAGCCTTCATTCGCCCGAGAGTGAAACTACCCATGTGCTTTGACAGGCCCGACCCTACCGACCATCCGACAAGGCAAGCACCCAAACTACGCCCTCCACCCCCTGACCACCTCCGCCAGCGCCGCGTCACCGCCAACGTTGCCCGGAAACACAACAAACGGCACGCCAGGCCACTTGCCGCCGCCCTCGACACACCGCCACAGCGGCACCCCGGCCGCCGCCTGCCCGACGACGCGCGCCCGCCGCATGCCGAGCCCCCTGCCCGCCATGTCGGAGCTCGTGATGCCGCCCTTGGCCACGACGTAGCGCGGCCGCGTCGCGAGCCCGCGCAGCACGTCGACGAGCGCCGACGCCACGACGGCCCCCATGTCGAGACTCGCCGCCCCGTCGGCGCCCACGACCAGCGCCGCGACGTGCCGGGCGGGGGTCCGCCCAGAAACCGCCGGCCCGGCGGTGGACAGAAGCCCCGGGGTTTCCTTGTGGCCAGACCGGGGTAACTCAACAAGGCCCCCCGAAGACCAATTTTAAATACCTTTAACCGCGCGCCCGCGTCCTCCCCCCGAAAG